AGTGATCCAGGACTCCCCTGCTTCTCTTTCCTCTTTAAGAACAGTAGCCTCAAGTCACTTAATATACAATTTAGTTTGCTGTGAAACAAATTCTTCTGTACGTATGTACTCAAATGGTGTTCTTCTAAAGTCACTTGTGAGGCCTTAACTGCCATGTCCAGTAAGATTTATCTTATTTGGGATCTTGGTAGCACTTAATGTTTAATCTCTTTTTTGTTGGAATTATTTTACCCCACTGTTTCCACAACAGCTGACCTATTGATTCACTTTCTACTGCTATCATCTTTCTTTTTCATTTTTTTTTTATTTTAAAGAGAAAAAATTACAGTTAAACCATTTCAGAACAGGTCAGTAGGAGAGTTACAATAATTACTATATTGTACATTGTTGTCTTTGTAGTAGTTATTCAGAGTACAAAACATAGGCATGACATCTTGTCCAGATAATATTAGCGCAAACCTTTCCTTTCAATGAACTAAGAGAAACTAGCTGTATAACTATCTTAACTATCTTGTGTATAGATGTCTCTTTTTCTCTTTCTTCCCTTTCCTCCTTCACAGTTTGTCTTTTCTTTCGAACAGTTTCTTCCCAATTCAAAGTACCTGTAGTATGTTTTGGATTTTACTTACTTTTTCAGTTTCTTATATTAGTGAGACAATACAATGTTTACACATGTGGGTCTGATTTATTTCATTTTTGAGTATGCTCTCAATTGCATCCATTTACCTATGAAAGCCTCCAGTTTATCCTTCTTTATGACTAAACATACTCCATTATATTAAAAAAAACCCACATCTTTTTTATTCATGCCTTTATTGATGGCATTTGGGTTATTTCCAAGAGCTAGCTATTACAAACTGTACTACTATATACATGGTGCACATATGTCACTGTGGTATGATGTTTTGAATTCTGGGAAAATACCTGGAAGGGAAATATCTGGATCAAATGGGACCTCTAATCCTGTTTTTTTAAGGACTCTCCACACTGATTTTCACAGTGGCTGCACCAGTCTATACTCCCATCAATAGCGGAGAAGGATTGCTCCCCCCCCTTGCCCGCCCACAGCCCTGCCAGCACTCTATTTGTTTTCTCAATGATAGCCATTCTCTCTGGAGTGAGATGGGTGAGATAAAATTTGCATCTCTGGAATGACCAATGATGCTGAACATTTTTTCATGTATTTATTTGCCATTTGTATTTCTTCACCTGAGAAGTGTTTATTCATTTCAGATGTCCATTTTTGGATTGGGTCTTTGAATTCAGTGGGTTTGATATTTTTTTCCATTCTAGATAAAAGTCCTTTGTCTGGGGGACAACTGACTATAATCTTTTCCGACTCTGTGTTTGGTCTTTCACTCTGTTGATGATTTTTTTGTTGTTGTTGTGAAAAAGCTTTTTAGTAAGGTAAGGTCCCATTTGTTGTTTCTTTGTAATACTTCCCTTATAATATGGGTTTCATTCATGAAGTGTCTGCCTATATCTATGTTTTTGAGATTTCTACTTATTTTCTCTTCCAGTAAATTTAGTGTTTCTCTTTTAATATTTAAATCTTGAGCCAGGCGTGGTGGCTCACGCTGTAATCCCAGCACTCGGAAGGGAAGGCTGAGGCAGGAGGATCCTTGTCAGTTCAAGACCAGCCTGGGCTACAAAGTGAGCTCAAGGCCAGCCTGAACTGCATAGCGAGACCCCATCTCAAAAAAGACAAAAAAAAAAATTTAAATCTTTCGTCCATTTTGACTTTAGTGCATGGTGATACACACAGATCCAGTTTTAGTCCTCAGCATGTGGAACTCCAGTGTTTACATCAAGCACCATTTATTAAAGAGACTGTTTTCCTTCCAGTGAAGATGTTTGGCTTCTTTGTTGAAGGTAAGGTGGTTGAGGGTTGCATCTGCATCTTCTATTCTGTTCCACTAATCCTTGGGCCTGTTTTTTTCCCATTACCATGCTGATTTTATCACAGTAGCTTTGTAGTATAATTTGAGGTCTAGGATTGGGATGCCCTGACTTTTCTATGTTTCCCAGAATTGCTTTTGCTATTTTGGGTTGCAAATGAATTTTAGGAACATTTTCTCTAGATCTGTGAAGTATCATCTTTCCTTTTCAGTGAAAAAAAAATTTGGTGTGCTTTTTTACCTGATGATCAAATGCTGAATCGCTGAAGCTCTGTCTTTAGTCCTGTTCTCAAGCTGCAAAATCTCCCTGGGAAAAACAATCAAGTGGATTATTTTAATGGTCACTTCTTTGCTGATATTTTCCACATTTAAATCTTTAACCCAAAACACTCTACTGAAATCCAGAACTTGTGTCTCTTATTGGTCTCTTATTGGTCTCAGAATATCTTTTTTGCATGTTACTAAGCCTTCTGAAATCATTTAGATCTCTTCTGGGTTCCTTTCCTTGGGGTGACTGCACATAGGAAGGAAAGAAACCTGAACATTCACTCCATACCCAATGGTGAGATTATAGTACCTTATATGTTACTTATTTATGTTTCTTCTCTTTGGGGGAACATGCAGACATGCATTTTCCTACTTCTTTGCAATTGGGTCTGTCATAAAATTTGATTTGGCCAGTGAAATGTATTGGACATGACGTGTGTCAATTTAGGCAAAAACCTTTAAAAATGGACATAACATTTTATTCTTTTTTTCCATGTTAACTGACAATATTCTAGAAAGGCCCCAAGAGTTTAATCCTTAAGTGAACATGTTCTAGAGGTAAGAAATTAAACTTTGCTATTTTAAGCTTGTGCGATTTTAGAGTGATTTTTTTTTACTGCCATATAGGTCCTGACTGATTGAAAAGCCAAACCAAATTTATTACTTTTTCCTATGCATTATTATCAGAATAAACATCACAAAAGTATCTCACTTGCTTTTTCCCCAACATCCCCTGTCTCTTTGTTTTTCTTAGCCATTTATATCTATTCACCTAACCAGGATAGAAACTTGGAAGCAAATCAAAACACTTTCATGTTCCCATGCTTCTCATAACTCAGAAAATTCTTTAGATTCCTACATTCTAAGAACCCTTCAAATCTATCCATTCTGGGTATGTACCTTACCGTATCTTGCATAGAGAACTGCAGTGATCTTAAAATGTTCTCCTTCTCTCCAGTACTAGACTCCCTAATTCTACTTTCTGTGTGGCTTTCACGGTTACTTTTATAAGATGTAGACTTTGACCATCACACTCTTGTATGTTTCCACATTGTTTTTAAAGTAAAATCAAAATGTCTTAGAATGGTATGTTAGTCTTTCTATCTTTTTAGCAATATCTCTGGTTCACCAATACATTGTTTCCATTTTTTCGGCCCCTGTTCCACACACATATGGAGACTATAATACTCTTTGACTAATCTTTCTAAGCTTAGGTTTCATTTACTCTAAGAAGATTGTCCCCAAAAGACTTCTTAAGTCCCTCCTTGTGTCACTTCTCAGCCTAAGATGTGCTTTTATTACTATATGTGTCCTTTCTAAAAAAAAAAAAAAATCTTTGCTTATAGGGTCACTGTAATGGCCAGAGAGGGTAGTGATTATAATCTTCTTGAGGATGGGGGACTATATTACCCACCATTCTGTCTTGAAAGTTCATTACTGAATCATATTACAGACATCAAAAATGTTATGAAATTGAAATAAGAAGTCATTTTATCAGACAACCTAATATTTGTAAAGAGCTTATATTTTTTACATAGTTTTTAATTTGTTGAGGACTAACTGTGTCGGGCATGCAGAAACTTTCCACACACTTCGCTTTATTTAGTGTAACAATAACTCTCAGCTATTGATACATGCACAAGGTATCTATCCTCCTTGATTTCATTATTCTGAGAAAATCAGACCTCATTCTCTTGGCATGTGAATGTTCTTGGCATGCCTATGTTCTTAGGCAGTAACTGGATGTATTATTTTCTTATGAAGTATGTAAGTGGATGTGTATCAGAGACACTGTAACTGACATTCTCACCTACAGCCCTTAAGGGAAAATTCAGCTCCATTATATATATCATATTTCATCTGAAACAATTTTTTAAACTGTTTAATGTGCCTTTATAGATAAGTGAAGGTTTACTTAAGAGACGCAAGAACTAAATTTTTTTAAATTTTAAAAAAAGGAGAGAAACAGGAGCAAAACAGAATGACCAACTTGTTTCATATAACTTCCCAAGGTTCATTATTAGTTCAAATATCCCTCAAAGAACTTTCAAATTATCCTTAAATGACAGAAATGTATACAGGACTTAAGGGCTTGACAAGATTTGAGGAATTACATAGTTATGGGAAGATATATTATTATATGACTAACTCACACTGTTTTAGTCTCTGTCGCTGCTGGCTAGAAAATTCAATCTCCCAATTCACCTCTTGTTGCCTATGTTTTCCATTATCCTCAAATAGCAACAAGCATGTGTGTACCTAGCTTATTAATATTTTAAAAGCCCAATATTTCTTTCTTAAAGAGTTCATGGATTCACCCAATATTCAAATATTGTTCCACAGAGAGAAATTCAGTCCATTGCTATTCATTTCAGTGCGCGTTTAGCGTTGAGAATGCGGGATGCAGAACCAGCTGCGTTTGCCAAAGACCAAAAAGCCCTGCGATGAGCAGAGTCAAGCAATTACCAGCCACTTGGTCTTTCTGCAGAAATACACGAAAAGTGTAGAATCGCTTAATTTTATCCCCTCCTAACCTGTTCACATGGAAATTGGCTGCTCGGGCGAATGTTGTTTTTCACCGCAGCCATGTGTGGAAGGGCGATTAACATGAGCTCGACAAAACCCCTTCCAATGCCATTTGGGAGTTGCACGCGTTCACACCCTGGGTTCAACTCGGTGCGCCTTCACGCGCAGCCTTTTTGTTTATTCGAGGACAGAGGGGCGGAGAGGGTGTGAACCTCTAAGCATGCCGGAGACTGCAAGGGTTATATAAAGCCCGGGCTCGGACCCGGTGGGAGAGGGCAGGACTGCCCGCGAGCTGCTTCTGCGGACCCTCACCGAGCCATGGAGGCTGCAGGGAGCGCGGAAAACCGGGAGAGCCGAGCTCCGGAGCGCGCACGCCGCAGCCCGCAGCCGCTCCAGGTCCCCGAGCGCCCTGCGCAGCGCGGGGCTGCAGACTCCGGGTACAGCGACTCCGCGCGGCCGGGAGCGCCCACCCTGCCCCCCTCCCTGCGGCCAGGCCTGGCTCCTCCCCCTCTCTGCACCCCGCTCCCCGCCGGGCTCCGCTGGACTCTCCCGGGTCTGGGCTCACGGCCCCTCCGTGTGCTTTGCTCCCCGTCCCGCAGATCTGCAGGCTTCTGGAGGCCGTGGGAAGCCCGAGGCCGGCGGGAGGACCGGGCGCCGCGCCACGCTGCGGAGGTGGTGAGCGCGGGGGGCCGGCTGCGCTGCGCGCTGCGGAAGGTCCGCCGGGCTGGGGACGCCGGCCTGAAGGACACGCGCGCAGCCTGCCCAGCTACGGGGGCGCGGGAGGGCGGCCTGGCGGCTTTGACGTGGGCGGGTGTGTCCTCCAGAACCACTGGTTCACGCGAATCGGACAGAGATTGGGGCTGCTGGGAGGCCCCGGGTCACAGTTCCTAAAGGGGCGCCCCACATGTTTCCAATTTCTTAGAAGGACGCGTGGATAACGGCGATTCATCTCCTTTCATACCCAGATGCCCGGTGGCCATGGAATGATCGCAGCCCCAGGAAAGCCTTCCCAATTCAGACACCCGCTCAGGTGAGTGACAGGCCTCACCCTAGGTCTCCTGCTCCTCCGGCACCAGGGAGGAGCCAGCAGCTTCCCCCACAGCCCAGCTCCAAAGCTGGTCCTGCAGTTTTTCTCTTAGAATATGTTTCTTCAAGGTTACTCTTGTCTGATTCAAAGAGGTCGATTATTGAACTGTTAATCAGTGAATACTTAGAATGTGTTATGAACAGAGGAAGTAAGTGATATAGTAAAAGAACTGTGGCACCTTCAAACTGAACAGTTTTTTAAAAATCCTAACGGTCCCGATGAAATTGAACTTGACATCAGCCTATGTATATTATTCTCTTGCACAGCAGAAGGAAAAATGGGGCTAACAGTTGCGATTTTACGGCAAATCAAAGGTTGACAAGAGAAAATGGAAATGTAATGAAAACCATAAAGATTACCAAAATAACCCAAAAAGTATTCAAAACCTATTTTAAATAAGAATGAGCAAATGTTTACTGTTTTTGTTTTGTTTTTGCCACAGGGAGTCAACCTTTCTATGAGTTTTTCTGTAGATTTTATTCATGCAAAATGTTAACTATGCAGTCTTCCTGCTCATGAGAACTTTACACGGTCTTATAATCTCTGTGAAGTGTTTTTAAGAAGCATTACTAGTCAAACATATTAATTTTCCACTAGCACTAGTTGAAGGACACAGAGAACAATAATCACAGCACCTAGCAAGTGTTGCAGTGGAGTTTACATTGGTCAGTGTTTACAAGTATGGACAGGGCATGAAGTGGCCAACTCTGAGGACCTGGAAGTTGCAGGCAGTGTATTTCATAGGTTGTGGTTGACTGAGTCACCACAAAGGTCCCTGGAACAGCATGGTTAACGAACAGCAAGGTGCTGGAATTTGGGTGTATGAAGTTATCACGCTAGTGAGGTAGCCAGAAGTCAGACCCTGTAGCCTTTATACATAAAACCCATGAGTTATACTCTTATCTTAGGGTTTTTCAAGGAATTTTAGCCAGAAGAGTAGAGTGATCAGGTTTGTCTTTCAGAAAATGCAATACTGACTTAGAAGCTATTGCAATTGTTCAGGTTAAGAGCCTTTCAAAGATATTGGAAGTGGGGGATGGAAATAAGTAAATGTGGGAAATATTTAGGAAACAATTAGGCTTTATAACATATTTGATATAGTAGGTGAAGAAATAAAATCTAGAATTTTCCCCAAGTTTGTGGATTTTGAGTGCATGAATGTTGTACCAAAAGGATGAATATTAAATCTTAAAACACACTTGGGGAACAAGTTACTGAGTATGATTTTGTATTTGACATATTTAATATACCTGTGAGAATCCAGGTACAGATATCAGGTAGAGAGCAGCATAATATGTCAGGAATCTAGAGTTAAAATCTCGTAAATACAGGTTTGGGAGTCTGTGGTGAATAGAAGATCAAGGAAATCATGACTGTAAGGTCATCCTAGACAGTGCAGAGGAAAGTGTTGATCATTCCCAATGAAATGGTGAGGGAAGGTCAGCCTCTCGCCATTATGTGGAGAAAGTCAGGTCCATGAAGGAGACACAAGAGTTGGAACAGGGAAGAATTCAGAAAGGATGGAGTCCCTGGAATAAAAATGATACACAGTGAGAAATTCTGGACAAAGTATGATGATGATGATGACAACTAAACAGCATTCCTTGTTTGGCAATTTTAGTTATGTATTAGAAGTATAGTTAACTTGATAAACAATTTCTTTTTTTGTCCCGGGGATCGAACTCATGACCTCACTCTTGCCATGCAGGTGCTTATGCCTCTGAGCTAAACCCCCAGCGCAGCAATTCCTTTCTTAACAATCACTGTTACAATTTAATTGTGCTTAAGTTTATTTTGCTTTTAAACATTTCTAACTTGGCTAATATTCTGTTTCTCATTATTTTTACTCAATTGACAACTTCTTGACAGTAGGAAGCTTGATATAATCATTCTTCAAATTGTGAATTATTGGCACAAGAAATTATTATTTATCAGACAGTTATTTAAGCATCAGAATTATAAAATTTCTAGATGTTCATGCTAGAAACATCTAAAAACTTCACTGTCTAGTTTTCTTGCTTCTCAAACTGAACATACTGAAAATAATATATGAGGCTATTCACTCTACACTAAAATGATTGCACTTTAGTTGATTCAGCCTGTCTCTATTCTTTTCTTTTCCTTGGATGAAAAACAGAGGAATGACAAATTAATATTTGTCAGATTTTTAAAACTCTGAGGTAATCATACTTATACGCCAATATTTTTATATGAAGCCTGTATCGTTAGTCAATATCTTAGTATAATGCTTCCACATTTGGTTGCATGGGGAGAAGAGAGAGAGATGGAACCAAGATTGGTGCCACAGGTAGCCTTACTGTGTCAAGCTGTGAATATGTAAACAGACTTAAAACTGCTCTTAGTATGTTTCTAAACTTAGATTACCTACATTTGTAACTAAGAGTTTTATTTGTGAATTTAAAGCAAGACAATAGGTGATTACTGCCTTTGTGGAGGGTGCATAATATTTGGTCATCTTTATTAGGCTGACTTTATCAGACTTTTTAATATAGAGGTAGAATTCATATTTTTCCTAAAGAAACTTGAAAAATGAAAGAGAAGCCAGGCATGCTTGTAACCCCAGCACTCAGGAGGCCGAGGCAAGAAGGATTGCTGTGAGTTGGAAGCCAGCTTGAGCTACAAAGTGAGTTTAATGCCAGCCTGAGCTGCAGAGTGAGACCCTGTCTCAAAAAAGACAAAAAAAAAATAGAGTTCTCCTATACTTTGTAAGGCTAAGAATACACATAATGCTAGAAGTCAGCTAAACGTTGATCTTATGCTTATGCAAGGTATATTATGAATTTGATCTAATTTGTAGATCGAATAAAGATTTAAAATAATCACATATTTATGGATACTTTGGCAAGCTGATTCCATAAAAGTTATAATAGTAGCATTTTAAAACTTTCTATATAAAGGCTGTATCTAATGCATAATAAATTGTTAAACATATAAAATACTTGAAATTTGAACATATCATAAGGATAAGGATTATGAATGTAAAAAAATAAAACATACTATGTTGTCTGCATCTTTCAGACTGTTATGGCCAAAATCAAAATGTTATGATTACTTATATCAAGAAGCAGAAACTCTTCTGAAAAATTTTCCAATTCAAGCCACAATTTCATTTTATGAAGATTCTGATAGTGAAGATGAAATCGAAGAGCTGACCTGTGAAAATTAAGCTAATCCTGGTGATATTTAAGGCTTGTAGGATTTAAATTTAGTGTAAAAATGTATCATATTTTTAAAAACTAATTTATTTGTATATAAGTTTTTAATAAAAGGAAATCTTTTGAAATTACTATGGAAGTTGACCTTTTTAAAACTCCCTACACTAGAACTTGATGTTGGAATTTAAAATAGGTGACATTTACAAATATCTTAATTGTGTTATAATTATGTAGTTAGGGCTTACAAAGCATAGTTTTGGTCTTTTTATTAAATTACAGATTTATCTTTAAAATTTTGCAAAGAATGACAGTGTTTAATTTATCAAGACCTGATCTTGTAACATCTGCACTTTCCTATTGATCTTATTAGATGTTGTAATTGCAGATAAAATTATTCATACAGACTATACTATGTATTTTAGATAATGAAGAAAATCATCTTATGTTACCAGTCACACATTTATTATTACGTGTTTGCTAGCAGATAGTAAAAAGTCATTATCTATAATTGAGAATGTAAGTGCATTTTAGGACTCTTAAATTTTAGAAGTTATAAATAAATAATGAGTTAAGTAATTCTCATTTCCTACTTTCTACTATTTTAAAAGTAAAGTAGCATGGGTGTTCAATGTCCATTATATTACTTAAGGGATCTTTATAATTAAAAAGAAATGTTTCAAGAGTTATTTACATAGAACCTAAAAAATTGGAGCCTAATGACAAGAATTCAAAAATATTTTTTATGTGTGTTCAAAGAAGAGCTAAGATATTTGGTTGATATGAAATATTCTTCAACCTTATCAACTTTCATTTTGTTCTGGTTACCAGCTCTTGATACTCACATTTGAAATTTTTACCATGGGAAGTGAAAATAAATGCTCAGTGATTAGTTTTTCTTACATATTTGCAGAAAAATGCTTCGTTTAATGAGACAGAAAATGAGCATTTTAAAAGGTTAAGGTTATTATGGGAGGGGTGGGGATACAAGTGGCACAAGCACCTGCCTGGCAAGGCAAGGTCGGGAGTGCGATCTCCAGTACCAAAAAAAAAAAAAAAAAAAAAGATACGGTGATATCGTAAACTACTGTCGTAGAGTTTGATTCATATACAGTCTTCTCACAATAAACAGTTCAATGCAGGTAAAAATATTCCTATAATATTCTAGAATGATAATGGGTAGAAATGACACCAGAAGTAGCTAGATAGCTAAGATATGCTTCTTGCTTGAATGACCACAATATTTTCCTTATACTATAAAATTATGCAAATATAACTTTGATTTCCAAGCACTTTGAGGACTAGAGAGTTGTAATAAATTTCAAATCGTGACAATGTGTTGAGTCAGGAAAGTTAATAATAAAAAGAATTTGTTTTAAAACTGTTTTGTTTTTCTTCTGAAAACTTTCTGTGTCTAATGGATTATACTCTCAAAATCTGTGCTTTTCCTGAGGGACATGCAAAACAGAAATCCCAGCAGTTCACCAATACGGGCTTTGAGCGTTATGGAGTGGTGTTTATTTGAGCAGCGTTCATATTTTTCTTTTAATATACTGGAATTGTACAAAGAGCCACTGCCATTTATTGAGTGCCTATGACAAAAACCACACACTACTGTATAGTTTAAATATGATAATTTGGTCTTTATTAAAACCTTTAAGCCATCATACGAATGTGGAAATGAAGCTTTAAGAAACTACTTGCACAAGAGAGCTAAGTTATTAAGTACAGGAATGGCATCAAAATCAAGTCTGTCTCAAACATAGCTGTTCACCACCACAACTAGAAGTGAGCCCCATCAGTGCACAACTCCTTGTATGTTTCAATGAAGATGTAAAGTTACTGAGGAGGAAGAATTTGTGAGTGACTGAATTAGAGAACAAAGTGATTAAAACATCTTTTACTCATCTGTCAGTCATCCGTGGAGGTATTTAATGGTAAACTTTTTTATGCTCTTGTAGTTGCTATTTGCATTTGATTCATTAGCTTGTAAAGTTGTGAGATTTTCTTTCCTGTACAGCCTAGTATCTTACAAGACATAGTTTTACAGAAATCAGAAGATTTTAATAACGTTATTGTAGTCTATATTTCAAGTAGTGTTCTGGGTTAGGAGGTCTGTGTAAGAATTTATTCTCCGGTTCTATCAGCACCAGGGCTAAAGAACAGCTTCACTCTAATCTTTCCCCGAAATAGCTGTCACCGGCTTCTAGTGCTGAAGTTCAGGACGCAAAACTCACTGAGCATGCGTACTTCTCACCGCCACCCTAGCGGGCGGCTCCTTGCATCTCGTTGGCTCCACCCCTCACGGACGTGTCGCGTCATGACGTACCTCACCCTGGCGACCCCGGAAGTGGGTCGGGGGCTTGGCCTCTCTGGGGCCTCCGAGCGGGAGCGGGAGGTTCTTGCCTGAGGTTTTATAAAGAGTGCCCGTAGGGCAGCGGGCCCCAAGAGATTTAAGATGCTAAACGTTCCTTCCCAGTCTTTTCCGGCCCCCAGTTCTCAGCAGCGCGTGGCCTCTGGGGGGCGTAGCAAGGTAAGTGGGTGGCACCTTTAGTGTCATCCAGTGCTCTACTCACGCCGGGGATTGGCGCTTTGGCACCCGCTATTCTTTCTTTTTGTCCTTGCTCCCACCTCCTGGCCCCCTGTCAAGTCTTCGTTCTTTCCTGCCTTTGCTGGCGTCCGCTTTCTGATCCCACGCTGTCTCCAGTTTGTCTCGCCCGCCCATCCTCTCACTGCTCTCTCCACTTTTCCGCTGCCACGACCCTTTCTTCTCGGGCTTTCCCCGCTAATTCACATCTGTAGAACAAGACCCGTGCTAGTCTTATTGTAAGTACTCAGTATCAGCTTCCTTCCTTAACCTGTCCGGTCTCCGATCTTTTATTCTTACCTGTCTGCAGGAGTTGTAGATGATGTGGGTTCCATGGCAGAAGGGGAGGCTGAGAAGTGGCGACAAGAGATTTCCTTGTAGGGGCGAGGACTTGTGGAGCTAGGGAAGTTTGGCGAAGCGAAGACAAAGGCCCGTAAACCTCCAGTCAGGTTTACAGAGAATTTTCTTCAAAGTCATACTGCTTTTCTCTGGTACCTGATTGTTTCAACATCACCTTTTCTACTGGTGGTAGTTGCTGACTTTGAAGTTAATATAATATTTATTCTTCAGTATTGTTGGGAATAATTATTGTTAGCACACATGGAACATAAATGTATTTCATATTTTCAAATCTTAATAAAAACTGTGTTCACGACAATGTGGATCCTGCTTGGTTCCGTTATTTGGTGCTTCCTTTATCAGTAACCACATCTTGTTTTGTTTGTGAGACTTCCACCTACTTGGGCCACTTATTTTTCTTTTCTCTCTGGACTCATTTGAGTCTTGGCATCATTTGAGACTTTCACCAACTTTCTTGTTTTTCTGTACTTAGACCTGAGGTGCTGATCCTAGATTAGAACTTAGGTTTAGGGAACTTTATAATTTTCTTTTGCTTTCTATATGTGTGTGTGTGTCCCTGACTATAATAATAATATTGAGATTCATTAAATGCTTATTGATGACCATGTATTTTTTAGTTCTTTTCCTGTATTACCTTGCTTACTCTTTGCAATGATCCTGTGAAATGGGAGATGCAGTATCCACTTCACAGAAAAGGAAAGTGCTTTTAAGAAACATTGCCTTAGAAAATACAAGCTTGTGATGCAATTTTTTCTGTGACATTTCACTTATTGCCATGTGTGTCTGTTATACAACTATTCAATCTTGCTGTCTTTTCCTTCCTGATCTTTGAATTGTTTTTACCTTAAAGTCAATACTTGATTGGGTAATATATACTTTGCAGAATTAGAGTACAAGTTGCTGCCCTTCTCCATTAAAATTGCCAACCATATTTAAGGGAGACAGTTTGGAGACAAAGACACAAAGTCACATGGGTGGTGAGTCCAAAGAGAGAGAAATTTATACTGAATTATCTTGACTTATTAAAATGTGAATAATACCTCTGCCTTAGTCCATTTTGTGCTGTCGGACACTGCACAACTGATAAAGAACAGAGATTATAATTCTGGAGACTGGGAAGTTTAAAATCAAGGGCCCCACACCTGGTAAAGATCTTCTTGCTGTGCTATATAATATGACAGAAAATGTCACATATTGATGAGTGCCTGGGATAGAATTTGTAGCCTCCAGCCCAAGCCTTTTATAACATGCAAACCACAGCAACTTCTCATCTAAAAACTTTGAAAATATACTTTGTGAAACACAATGGATACTGCAAACATCCAGTTATTAAAAGGAATTGGCACACTTTTCTACAAAATACAGTAGTGCCTTCTTACCCATTTTTTCACGGTTTGGTTTATGATTTCAGTTCACAGGCCCCTGTGATTCAGTTACCCATAACCAGCTGCAATCTGAAGATATCAGAACGTTCCAGAAATACAGAAATAATATTTTTAATTAATTAATTAATTACAGAAATAATTAATATTAATTAAATACAGGAATAATATTTTTTAAATTAGATGCTATTCTAAGTAGTATGACAAAATCTTGTGCTGTCCTGCTCTGTTCTGCCTGGCATGTGAATCATGCCTTTGTCTAGTACATCTACCCTGTATGCATCACCCACATGTCCGTTACGTAGTAGTAGCTTTCTCAGGTATCAGATTGACTTTGGCAGTACCACAGTGTAAAAATTGTTTTTTAATCAGTGATGGTCCCAAAGTGTAAGGGTAGTGATGCAAGCAATTTTGGTATGCCACCAAGTCCTTCCTTTAAGTGAAAATGTGCAGGTTCTTAATAAAGGAAAAAAGTGACATTTTGAGATTGCTAGCATCTAAAGAAACTATGATCAGGCCAAGGATTTAGTTCAGCAGTGTAAGTGCCTGCCTGGTGAGCGTGACAGCTACATCATGAGTTTGATAGTTTGATCCCTGGTACCAAAAAAAAAAAAAGAAAGAAAGAAATTGTGATCTATCCATGACATTGTTAAGAAGGAAAAATAAATTGTGTGTGTGTATGTATGTATAAACATAGTGTATTTTGAGGTTGAAATTAGCCTTTATTGCAGGAGCTATGTCTTGGAATGCATGCCCAGTGGATAAGGGAGGCTACTGTATTTTGGGCTTTGAAGCCCTCCTTTCTCACCACTCCATATAAAAACTATTCTTAGCTCAGGACTGCATAGAAATAATAGCAGAGTTGGCCCCCCCAAATTTGCCAACACTTTTTCTACAGTTACTTTCCCTTATTTGACAATCTTTGTTACTCATTGGTGTCTTATTTTCTTGTTTCTGGGACACAGTACTTAACACTTAGAATTTAAAGGAGGAAAGGTTTATTGTGGCTCACGGTTTTAGAGGCCCAGGCTACAGTTGGGTGGCTCCAAGTAAAGACAGCATGGCTGAAGGTGTCACTGAAGAGAAGTGGCTCATCACATGTAGTGGAGAAGCCGAAGGAAGCGTCAGGGAAGGAAGAAGGGAGGTATACCCTTCCAGGCCATGCCCCCAGCCTGACCAGGCTTCATACTACATTTAGCTAGAAACCCTACTGTGGAGTCATCCAGGGATAAGTGTCAGGCCCCTGTGATTCAGTAACCCTACCCTGAGAGCAGTAGTGGCTTTCAGGGGATGTCTAGACATGAATTATAATCCAGCCTAGCCTCCAAAAGACTCATAGGCATCCCTTTATGCATTTAGACCCTCTCTAAGAGATTCCAAAGTCGGAACAGTTTCCATATTGCTGAGAAGTCCAAGTCTGTAATCTTTGAGATTTAGGGCAAACTCTTAGCTGGGAGTTGAATGCTTCCAACACATAAACAACTCAGAATAAATATTCCCATTCCAAATGGGAGAAATAGGGAGATAGGAGTAGTACTAAAGCCAGGCTAATATCCAGCAGTGTAAATATTAAATCCTGTAGTTCTGTGTTCAATACACTGTGCAAATTGTGGTGAGATGTGATCTTCAAAGAGATTGGGTGAGTGGACCTACCCTGTTGTAATGTCTATAGTCATAATCGTCATGGCTTCTTTCTTGCACTGGCTTTGCCCACTCCTGTGGTTTTTCTCAGATGTTCCATGTTTCTAGCTTTTTGAACATATTGAAATCTCAACTGCACTTTTGGCTTTACCTTCACAGCTTCACATACTGCCCTGTCATCCCCGTGGCCTGACCTCCCAGGCCTTCTGAAATCTGGGTGGATATATAACTCTGGCATTCTTACATTTATCATGGGCATAAAACCAGCCCTGAATGGAAGGTACCAAGATCTGCCACCACCAAAAGCAGAGGCCGAGCCTTTTTGCATCTTGCTGTGATTACAGATGCCTGTCTGGCTGGGTAAAGGAGACTGAATCCCTGGAATTCAGTTCCCTAGGCAGCCTTCTTCAACAGAGTACCCTGGGATACTCTTTCAGAGCCAAGTCTTGGTCCAGGGATATGGCTCAGCACTGCTGCTGAAGTCCTGAGTTTGATTCCTGGTACCTAAACAAACAACAAACAAACCCCAACAAAACAAACAAAAAACAGTGAAGTCTTTCACTGTTAGAATTTAGAGCCTTGGAAAAGTGGCCTTGATGGTTCTGCACATACCCCTTAGCTATTTTCTTACTGTCCTATTCCAAAGCACTTGACTTATTTTTCATGCTAATACTTTTAGCTCTCCTTTGCCGCGTTTTTGCTGGCCCCGGCTTTACTAGAGCTGCTTTTCCAGCCGAACACAAAGCTTTCTAATCATTCTCCTGGATTGTTTGCTCCTGATTCTCAATGTAGAGTTTACTAAAAGTCTCCTACAGTACCTAAGCTTACATACTTGGCTGCCTTGAAATTTGCTTTGCCAGATTAATGATCCTTAATCTCAGTCTCCATCAAAGTTTTGGGATGTGAGCAAAATGTAGACAGGTTTTCCATCAAAGCATAACGTACAGGACCTGGGTCCAACTGCCAATGTAGACCTTATACCAAACTCAAACCTCTTTAGCCTGGTCTTTATAAGCTGCATTTCTGTCAGCATTCTGGTCTTCTGAATTCTGGCCAGAAGTTTCCATCAAGCGTGGCTTACACTATTCTAGGATTGCTTCACCAGCCCTGTCTCCAAATCTTACCAAGTTCCTTCCAGTTCCTGGTACCCTGTTGTAGTGACTTTTGTCATCACTGGGACACGGTACTGGAAAATACTCATCACATTTCATGACTCTTGGAGCACAAAGGATGAGTGATTACTTGGAGTCCATGGCCAGTTTATAGTCCAAGAAGGCCTGGATGGACTGTTAACTGAGACCCACCTGCCTCCCCAGCATGAAAGGGTCTCAGGAAAAAACAGCCCCAAATGGAAGTTTCTATGCCTTTTTATTTTTACTAGTACCAGGGATCAAACTCAGGACCTCACACTAATCAGGCAGGCACTTGTGCCAGTGAGCTAAATCCCCAGCTATGTCTTTTTATTGATAAAATGAAGCAAGACAGAAGGATGAAAGAAAGACGTCTGGCAGAAATTCTTGTAGGGGACAGGGAAAGAACAGGAAGTACAGGGTGAGTCTGTTGCATGAGTAAATTTAGAGCTAATCTGTCTTGGTTACTTTGCTCTTACTACTGGAACAAAATACCCAACACCCGAAATTAAGAAGGAAAGATTTATTTAGCCACAATTTGTGGAGGTTTCAGTCCATAATTAGCTGACTCCAAGGCAGGATGGCATGGCACTGGGGCAACTTCAAGGCAACAGCAGTGCAAAAAGGGAAAAATAAGCCTCTTCTCTTCCCTTATATTGTACACAGGCCACCCCACCCTCTTCCGGGTGGATGCAGCACTCACAAAATCTTCTTGCCCTCCTTTGCACAGGATGAGGATATTTATAAAGAACCCTGGCTTCTTGCTGAGTCTCTCAATTAAATTTCTAAACTTCTCAAGTTGACACAATGTATAAACTAACAATCCACTCCTTGTCCACTTAGCAACCAGACATATTTCTTAGCCAAACTCAAAACATTTTAAATCATCCGGCTGGGCTCTTTGCTCTTGATTCGTAAATCAACATAAATCTGGCAAAAAGCTCCCAATAGTAGACATGCCACCACCTCAACATTAGACTGCCATGAAATTTGTTTTGCCAGGTTAGTTAGTCCACAGTCCTTAATCTTAGTCTCAGTCAAACTGGACACTAGCAAAATGCAGACAAACTTTCTGCCAAATTATAACACACATCATCTGGAGTCCAGCACACAATGCAGTTCTTCTTCCCAGGCTGGTCTTTACAGGCAAGATTTCTATCAGCTTTCTGGTCTTCTGAGCTCTGACCAGAATCTCCCATACAGAACAGCCTAAGTCCTCCCAGCACTGTGCATTCATGCAACACCTCCAAAGCTTTCTAAACTCTTCCCACAAGCCATTCCCAAAGGCTCTTGAATCACGTGGTCAGGTATTGTCACAGCAACAACCACTCCTCTGGTACCAAATTCTGCCTTGGTAACTTTTCTGTCATTACTGGGACTAAATACCCCACACCCAAAATGAAGAAAGGTTCATTTAGCTCACAATTTGTGGAAGTTTCAGTCCATAATCAGCTGGCTCCAAAGCAGTATGGCATGGCATCGGGGCAACGCTTCAAAGCAGTAGGCAGAGCAAAAAGGGAAAAACAAGCATTTTTTCCTGCCTTATATTGTACATAGGCCACCCCCCAACCCACCCTACCCCTTTCCCCTCACCTCCCACTTCAGGGTTGGTGTGTAGCACTCCCAAAATCTCCTTGCCCTCCTTTGTACAGAAAGGATATTTACAAAGTAAGACCCCTGGCTCCCTGCTGAGTCTCTTAGTTAAACTTCTAAACTCAGGTTGACACAATGAATCAAACATAACATAATCCAAGTAATTAATTGGAGTATGGGAAGAACAAGGGCCAGAGCATACATTCCTTAAGGTAATGTGTTTTCTTCCTACTTGGACTTTGGCTCTATAGGCTATCTTTTTAATTTTGAACCATGGGTTCTGGGTGGTCTGGACTTTGGGCTCCAAATGACTTTATCTCAGTGTATATACCTTACACACATATGTCTGGCTGGTGCCTGCACAGACACCCACAATTTAAGGGTGGAAGCTTTATTTTGGCTCTTGTAAAGGTTTTAGTCCATAGCTAGCTGGCAGAGAAGTGGCTCATGACTTGATGGTGGGAAGCAGAGAGAGAGAGAGAGAGAGAGAGAGAGAGAGAGAGAGAGAGAGAGAGAATGAGAGAGAGAAAGAGAGAGGACAGAGACAGAAGACAGAGACAGAGACAGAGACAGAGACAGAAAAAGGGAGAACAACCCTTCCAGGCCATGTGTCCAACCCATCTCTTCTAACCAGGTTTTACTTCTCATGATCATATTTAACTATAAACTCATTAGTGTACCAATCTATTGATGAGTACCATGCTCCCATGATCCAGTCACCTCCCAAAAGCCCCATCTATGAGTGCATGAAGCACTGGGGGACAGGTAGGTATAAACCATAAGAACTGGATTCTTAGTAAACACATTGCTGCATTACTACATAGTAATTTCTAGTGTTCTATTTAAATTGATGATTCAGAAAAAGTCAACTTATGCCAATTGTTTGATATATTTTATTCTACAAGTCTCTCTTTTTTGTGTGCTAGAGATTTAACCAAGGGCCTTTACACTGAGCTACACTCCCAACTCTCTCCTCACTCCTTTTTAATTTTGAGACAGGGTCTCAATAATCACTCAGTTGCCCAGGCTAGAGTTAAATTTGAGATTCTCGTGTTTTGGCCTCCTGGTGTGGGGAGATTACATGCACCATTACACCCAGCTAAATTTCTTGTTTTTTAGTGTGAAGAAATTGTGGTCCATATTGGTGACTAGTGTAATCAGTGACAGAGCCAGGAACAAGATGTGTTTTTTGACCTTAGATTCAATTCTTTCTTGTTACACTATAATACCTCCATTAATGACATTTTGTGAAACAGAATTTCTGAGTTCTACTTCTTTGCCCAGTGTCTTAGTTATTTTTTACTTGTCACTAAGACAAAATACCTGATGCACCAAGTTGGGAAAGGAAAGGTTTATTTCTTACAGTTTTTGGAGTTTTCAATCCATACTCAGTTGGCTCTAAGGAAGGGTGGCATGGCGGGGCCACAGTTCATGGCAGCTGCAAACTGCAAGGTGGAAACTGACAAAACAGTAAGACACACCTTCTTCCTGCCATTAGATTACATCCTGGCTCCACCCCTATGTGGGTGTAGCACTGACACCATCAATCCAAGCACTAGACAATGAACCAATCACAAATACACAATGCAAACCCATGAGGCCGGGGGACACAGACATAAACCATGACAACCAGGTTTTTTATATACGTCCTATTTATAATTCTGATAGAAAAATAATTTTGACATGAGCTGTGAACATTTATAGAATTGATGGATTTGAATTCTGGTCTTTTAAAATAGTAATAAACATAATGAAGTAGCCTGAAGACAAGCAGTAGGAATAAAAGACACAAGAAGAAGAAATTATGTTTAATTTTTTTACTTTTTAGGTACCTTTAAAACAAGGCAGAAGTCTTATGGATTGGATTCGATTGACCAAAAGTGGGAAAGACCTAACAGGATTGAAAGGCAGGCTAATTGAAGTCACTGAAGAAGAACTTAAGAAACACAATAAAAAAGATGACTGTTGGATATGTATAAGAGGTAGGTCTTATCATTAAATATTTTTAAATTTTTGTGTTGACTTTTCAATTGTAATGCCATATAACCCTGTAGGCATGCTATTTTGTGATAGGATTCAGAATTAGATTTAAACACATGCCTATATAGGACAATGAATGAATAATGTAGTTCTGAATTTGGACAATGCCTTTTCCTTTTATAGGCATTTATATATATATATATATATATATATATATATATATATTTTTTTTTTTTTTTTTTTTTTTTTTTTTTTTTTTTTTTGTCTTTTTCCTGTTTATCGGTACCGGGGATCAAACTCACGACTGCCTGCTTTCAAGGCAGGCGCTTATGCTGCTGAGCTAAACCCCCAGCCCCAGGCATTTATATTTTAATGCAGAAAATAGTGAACTTCAGAAATAGATGTTTTTCAGCATCTCTGTATTATATTCTCTTTAAAAGGAAGTAAGTATCTGCCTGGCAATTTAATATCAAAGTTGTATAATAAATTATATAGAACTTTCTATCTCAGGGTCTTTAATTCTGTTGGAGAAAGAATGAAAGGAGACCAGAGAGCGAGCCATCATTAAACCAAAATTTTCAGTTTTCATTTATAGCAAGGCTTATTACTTACTGTATGTTTCTTAGAAATATTATTTTCCTGCTTTTTTTAGTTCATAGTGTATTAAAAATTACAAATGGGAATGTTGAAAGAAATAAGTAGAGAGACAGGAGCAGGTAATTGTGCAAGTTAATATTAATTGTCAGCTTGAGTAAGAGACTTTTGCAGGGATGATTGGATCATTGGGGTCCCACACCTATCAGTGGATTACTGAATGTCCTTCATATTCATAGCTGAATATGCTGTTAGGAGGTAGAACTCTGTTGGAAGTGGGTGTCTGGGATTTTTCTTTGGAGGGTATAGTCCTCCCAGTTACTCTTCCCCTGTACTGTGTTTCCTGGCTGCCATGAAGTGAGCAGCTTTGCTATCCTGTGCCCTTGAAACCATGAGCCAAATTAAAACTCTTCTCCTTTAAGTTGGTATTGGGTATTTTGTTTCGATGACTAGAAAGCTGACTAAGAAGAAAATTACTATCAGAGAAGTGGAATCTTTGCTGTTACTGTACCTTACTATGTGGTTCAGTAAACTTTGGACTGGTTTTGGGAGGAATTTAGAAAAGTTTGGAGATGTGGATTAGAGAAACTCTAGGATGCAATATACAAAGACTGATGTGTGGTTCTCGTCAGAACTCAGAAGACAAGAATGTTCATAAGCATGTGGATAGGGAGGGCCAAGCTCATGATGTTTCAGATGGGGACCTTACTGGGAATTGAAGTGGAGTTCATGCATGTTGCAGTCTGACAAAGAACTTGTCTGCATTTTGCCCCTGTACTAAGACTTTGCTGAAGGCTGAGTTGAAGGGATACAAATTAATTGCTCTGGCATAGGATATTTCAAGGCAGTCCACATTTTACACTGTGGCATGGGTGCTGCTGACTGCATTTAGCCAATTTAATGATGAGAATTGGGAGCAAAAAAAATGCTGAACAATTTGGAAAACTTACATTTTAGCTCAAAAAGAAGCAGATGTAAAGTTGGAACCAAAGAGGTGTGATTGCTGAATAGCTTGGTGTTATTAAAATGAAATCAAGCACTTTCAGCGAGGCTGAGAAAATAGATGCAAGAAGTCAGCATTGACCCCACTCATCACAGGTTCAAATGTGCAAAACTATAAACCTTTCATTTGAGAAGACAGTCCCCAACCCAAACTTTCTGCTTCAGAAGGGCCACTAAGGGAATTGGTTCTCCCAGGTTCATTTCATGGTGATCGGCCATCCAGGTACCCAGAGGCCTCTCCTATCGTGATTGAAGGAGACCTGGCTTCTTCTGGCTTCATCAGATCTTTACATGTTTTGCTTGCTAGACATAATGCTTTAGCCAATATTTTGGAAAAAATTTTCTTATGCAGAAGTTTGCTTAAAATATTTAAAGAGAGATATTCGAGGTTTTTGTTGTTTCTGCATCAATTATGTTTTACTCAGTGAATTTATTTCTTCTCAATTGTCAAGTATTTTGGCATAACATTGTTTCTAATACTTTTATTATCTCTTCAATGTTTAGATTCTGTAACATACTCTGTATCCTCTTTCATTCTTGATACTGCTAATTGTTTGGTTTCTTTTTTTTCCTTCATCATTCTTGCCAGGAGTTTTATCAGTTTTATTAATTTTTTCAGAGTACTAATTTTGGTTTTGATTTCTCTCATTTTCTACTTCTTATTTGTACTCTTTCTCTTTCTCTTTATTGGGTGATACAGGTTTTTGTTTGTTTGTCAATCACTGCTGTGAATCTTGGACTGATGTTTTCCTGCAAAGAGAAATTCTTCAGTCATTTGCAAATGCATAGCCTGGGATTCTCTTCCGGAATGCTAGAGGCTGATGATGTTGGGAAGTGAATTTTGACTTGTAGAATTTTGCTTTTGGTTCAGAACTCTCCTATTCCTATTTCTGTTTTCCTCGGTGTAGTGTCTTTCTGGTTTGTGCTTTCCAGGAAACGACCCTATACTTCTCAGAGGGTTGCTTTAGGAGTGTTGTCATCTGGTTGTATGGAGTATGAAGAGGAGATGGGAATTATACTGTTTCTTATATTGAAATTGAGATCTTCTCAATACCTGGACTTTCACACCTACCTGGAATTTTAAGATTCTTGCACCTTTCAGGTCTCTGATGGAAAAACTGGCTTTTAATAGTATGGCATATTAACTAGCAGTCAACTTGTAACACCCAGCTGATCTGAATCTGTGTGGTTTTGGGTGTTGAAGACCCACCTGAGTATTGTTGCCAATAGCATGAAAGGAAACCTGGAGGAGAACTACTGTTGATTCTCTTGGAGAAGTTTGTCATGCTTGTTTTCCTGATATGAACTCAGCTATTCTGATGAGAATAGCTCAAAGGAGCTTGGGTCCTCTCTGTTGCTGAGCTTTGGGCAAGCTCTGGTCTTTACCTTGAGCATCGCTTCCTGGCTTCAGTGCAGATCTCTCAACCTGTGGCACAGATCCTTTATCATGCTGATGCAGACTTTCCACTACTGACCTTTGATCCTTTGCAGTACAAATCCATGAAATAGGCTCACATGAGATATTGTCCAGGACATTGGGTTGAGGACATTTCCACGGGCTCTAGGCCTTCTCTGGACTCTTTGAATTTCTGCTGTATGGACTGCTCTCCTACACTCTTCTGCATTTGACTCTTTGGGTGAATAATATAAAATAACACTATAAATTATGTGGCCTGTATTAAATCTATTCCCTTGGTAACCCTGACGACAACAAATAGATTCCCCTCTAACTTATACATGACTTAAGTTTTCACCTTTCTTCATTCTGTGTTATGATTCGTCTATTTGGCTTTCAAACTTCTAAATATTGTAAGTAAAGGCTAAGGATATATACTGTAAATCTCAGAAGAATCACTGAAAAGTCAATAGATGAACTGAAAAAAATTTGATTAATCTAAAAGAAGTAAGGAAAAGAGGGACACAAACAGAAAACTTGTGGCCTGGAGAATCAGTAAAAAAGGCATAAATTCAGTCTCAGTAATTAAGTTACATGTTAGTGGACCAAACATTCTAATTAAAAGGTAGATTGTTTCTCTGTGTGTACATGTGTATTTATAAGTATGTGTATTATCAAGTTAAGGGAAAAAAAGATCTCCATGATGTCCGTGAGAAGCATACCTTGAAGACAAATAAGTTGAAAGTAAATGTGTGGGAGAAAGTATAGTATACAAACAGTAAGGTACATTACTGATTTGACCTTTTGGCTGGCTTATGTTACACTCAGATAAAAACTGTATGTCTATGGCCCCCAGGTCTCATGAGTTTGCATTGTGCATTTGTGATTGGTTCACTGTCTAGTGCTTGGCTTGATGGTGTCAGTGCTACACCCACATAGGGGCGGAGCCAGGATGTGATGTAATGGCAGGAAGAAGGTGTGTCTTGCTCTTTGCTGGTTCCTGCTTGCTGTTTGCAGCCACCATGAACTGCGGCCCAGCCATGCCCGCCTGCCTTGGAGCCAACTGAGTGTGTACTGAAACCTCCAAAAACTGTAAGAAATAAACCTTTCTTTTCCCAACTTTGGGCTTCAGGTATTTTGTCTCAGCAATGAGTAAAAAGTAACTAAGACAGAATTTGGTACCGAGGAGTAGGGTCATTTGCTGTGACTATACCTGACCATGTTTTTCGAGAGGCTTTGGAAATGGCTTGTGGACAGAGTTTGGAAAGGTTCGGACATGTCTCCTGGATGCATAGAGCTGAAGCAGCTTAGGCTGTTCTATAGAGGAGATTTTGGTCAGAGCATAGGAGACAAGAAGGCTGATAGAAAGCCTCATGGTAAAGACCAGGCTTGGGTTGTTTCTACTGGAAAGAAGGACTGCATTGGTTGTTGGACTCCCCATGATTTGTGTTATGGCTTGGCAGAAAGTTTGTCTGCATTTTGTTCATGCCCAGAGACTTTGCCTGAGACTGAGACAAAGGGCAATGGACTAATTAATCTTGAAAAAGAAATTAAAAAGCAATCAAACATTGAGGCTGTGGCATGGCTATTGTTGGGGGCTTTTAGCCAGCTTTATATTGCAAATCAAGAGCAAGGAGCCCGGCAGGATAATTTGCAATACTGTGAGTTTGGCCAGAAGAAAAATTCCAGGAAGGCTGTGGATTGTAAAGACAGAGTTGAGATTTTGATTGTTGAGGGGAAAGAAAGAGATAAGAAAGATGGCCCCAGGGCATCCCAGGAAGCGGGTCCCCACCCTTTGCAGCCTAACTGCAAAAGTGAAAGAATTTGCTCAGAGGAGAAGGCTGCAGAGCACCATGCTCCAGAATGGCGACAGAGGCCACATGAGGTTCCAGAATGGCGGCAACATAGAGAAGCTTTTCCTCACAATTGGGTAAACAGAGCCCTGTGATCCAGGCAACTGACCCCTACAGGCAAGAGAGAGAAAAGCCTGGCTACTGCTTCAGCTGGCAG